CCCCCCGCCAGCCTACGCCGGCAGATTTGGTCGGCGGATTCCGCCGCGCAGGTGGGACCCGGGAGGGGACAGGGGGGTGCGGAGGTGCCCGGGAGGGGGTCGGATTGCCCGCCCCGGGTTGCGGACCGCGGGTAGCGCTGGAGTGCGGTTACACGTTTACGGCAACATGCCGGAGGCTAAGGTGCTTTTACTGCCACAGAACTTCCCTGGGCTTGGAAACGCGATAGGCAACTAAGCGAATTCGGGTCCCACTGGGTTTAAAGCGCAACTTGTAAACGAAAAGGAAAATGACCCGGGTTGACATTTGGGATTTGGCGTGGGGACGGCGGAGGCGCCCGGTCCGAGCGTTCGCGGTCGCGCGGTCCGGTCGGGGGGGCCTTCTGGCTCCTCCCGCAGCGCGGCGGCCGGGGATCGGGGAGCCACCTGCGGGCGCTTTGTAAGTGTGACAGCACCCCTTTCACCGCCTCCACGCCCGGGGCCTCCTGCGGGGAAAAGACGACACAAGAGAACTTTAGACCTGACCAACGCACCGCCGCCTTGTGCGGGAAACGGGTGGACATTTCCCCCCAACCCCCGCCGCCTCCTGCGGAGCACAGCTTGTGGGGCGGGGGTTAGGACTCTACCACACCGCCACCTGCGGCGAGGCTTTAGTATTGTGCCACCCCTGGCTGGCACGCACTCGCCCTCCGGAGAACTCTGGGTGCCAGAACCCCAGTCCAGCTCCTAGGCCTGTCAGTGGCGTCTCTCCTTCCCAGAAGGCTCCCTGGGTCGGTCGGGTAGAAAGATCTGGGTGAGAGGTGCTGCGAGCAGGTACTTTTGATAAGAGAAGTGCTGGCCCCCACATTTCCAGACTGAGCGCAGGTGGGGTAGGGGTCAGCAGAAAATGACGAACTCAACCAATAGCGCTCAAAGCTACTGGATACAATATCTTTAGGCTGAAGCCAAAAATGAGCATTTTCTTCCCATTAGCAACGACTTAAAGAGGTTATTATTAGCCTTAAATGTAGATTTGCTTTAGAATCTTTTAATCTGGGAGTTTCCACTGGCAAGCCCTTTCGGGAAATGTGTGCACGGAGGGAGGGGAAGGAAAGAGAACAGTCCATCATCCCTCAAGTGTGACCGTCCAGGACCTCCTTCCTCTTGGTTGGGGAGGATCAGATGGCAGGAGTTTTCCAGTGGGGAGGACAAGGAGGATCCTGAGCCCAGAGCTTTGCAGTGGAAAGCTCCAGGCCAGGGTGAGGGGAAGGCAGAGACTGGCCAGAGAGAACCCCAGAGTATTTCTCAAAAGGAACTTTAAATAGGTTGGGTTGGGGTTTATATAAACAAAGGGCTCTGCCGCACTGTGCCTGCTGGTTTTTGAAAATTCAAATGCAGTGAGTGAGTTTGGGTGTGGGCATGCTTTCCCCGAACAAGACACCTGCAGGCTGTGAGGTAACCGCCAGGGCCACTCTGAGCCACTTCCTGGTCCCAGGGTGGGGGGAGGAAGGAACGCATGGACAGACCTGGCTAACATGATGTCCCGAGACAGTGAGAGAGAGAGAGAGAGAGACCCCAATGTTCCGTTCACGTGTGGGTTCCCAAGCAGGCCCAGACTGCGTGTTTAGGAATGCACACAGAGGAAAGATTCAGAAACTGCAAGGAGGTGATGTGAGTGTGGTCAGGAGGAGGGCTGGGCAGCGGGGGACGTCCAGGTCTGGACAGGGCTAGCGGCTTTATGATCCTACATCGAACTCTGCGCTCAGGCTTTATGCACCTTTCTGTATGCACAGGCACTGTGTCTGCAGTGTTAAATGGGGGTGGGGGGTTGCAGAAAACAGGCTGCAGCTG